AAATCTTTAAAAAACAAACAAACTAGTTTTCTTTCCCTTCAACCTGTTCCTTCTCTACGTTACCTATCTCTACAAACAGCAGCCACCCTGAGCCAGATGCTGGAGCAAGTTATGAAGAGTCACCATCCATGTCTTCAAGAAAGATATAAATAGATCAACAGAATGGATTTTAATGTTTTCTAATTTGGAATAAGTAAATATGAACTGAGAATATGCAAAAATAAAAAATAAAAAAGATCATGTAAGTCTGCCTTGGGGAATTTAGAGAAGTGCCTGACACACACAGTTGGGGCTCAAAAAATATTAAATGACTGAGTTTATTTTGTAGGTACTGCTGTATTTGTAGACAAATGTCCTAAGCACCTTAACATGACTATAGGACAAACCACCTTGGGCCGAAAACCCTCCTTTAACATGTTCAGACAAATAATAGTTAATACAACGGTAGAAGAAACGCTGTGTCTTCCAAGCCTGACGGCTCTAACTCAGCGTCAGCCTCCCAGGCCCCTCACAACTGACTCCCTCCCGTCCTCCTGTCCTACTTCTTGCCCCCGATTCTCTGCCCTTTGGCTTCAGTGTCTTCCTTGCTCTTCTTTAAACACGCCAAACATGCTCCTGCTTCAGAACTTTTGCTGTTTCTAGTTCCTCTTCCTGGAGCTCTTTTACCAACACCTGAATGGCTCATTGCTCCAGTGTCGCCTTATCAAAGAGAACGTCCCTAATGACCCTGAGTCAACAGTAGACTAAGTCGCCAGAGCTTAGAACGATGCTGAGCAGACAGGAGGAATAGACTATTTGCTGAATAAATTAATTTCTTTCAGATTCAAATTTTCAAAAATAGGCAAGATTTCAAAATCCAACACTGAGAAATGGAATCGAAACATTTCAATTTTCGGAGAATTTAAATCTTCATTCTGTTTTGTTTCCATTGACTACACTAGAGCTTGATGTAATCTCTCTTTGTTCAATCCTTACAGAGCAGGTTTAGTGAATTTTTTAAAATTACTCTCAACTCAATTAAAAAAAATACCAATCAAACATCTAGTGCAGACAATACCATCTTTTCTCAATTATTCATATGAAAATAGGAAAGACCAAATTGATAAAATTCTCACTTATTCCTCCAAACTGTTTTCCCCAGTATCCTAATCTCTTTTCTCTACCTACCCTTTGTTAGAAGTTATGATAATAATTTACAGCTCTTTGTTAAAAATAAAACCTACAGAAAATAAGTATAGTGGTATTATAATCATCAACAAATGATTTTACCAGGAAACATGTCTAACGTGCTCAGGGAAAGGCAGGTTGGCAGCTAAAACTTGAACAAAAGGATACTCTTATGGACAAAGATAAGGTTAGCTTGGCCCAGATGGAGGGCAGTCACCGTGGCTGTTTTCTCATCCAGTAAAGCCACTTTCCCAGAAAGAGACTCATTATATGCAACTCTATGGTGCAGCAATTCCAGCGTATAATGTTCCAGGGGGAATTCCATCTCTGTAAGACATGAAAGATACATAAATGTAATGGGAACAACCATTCCAACAGACAATGATGTATTATTGGATTATAAGAGGAAACTCAGGAAGCAGGACTAAGCAAGAGTATGCTCTGCTTCTCATTTTCTTCCCGCAATGATGAATTTTTACACGTAACCATTTGGGGGGGGGGAATAATATATACATTTATTGTTGGCATTGCGTATTCTTACAAACCAGTGAACTGAGAGTAGCAGGAGGAACTCCTACAGGTAAGTTAGGAAAGAATTAATATTAACGCACACTTTATAAACTCAGTGAAACTTTGGTGTCAATAGAGTATTAAGTTTTCAGTTAAGGATCTGAGTATCTCAAGAAACGACGTTTGCAAAGATCATTCAAGTCCCTTTTGGTCAAGTTTTTTCACTTGCACTACAAAAACTAGTAAGTTTTTGGTTGTTGTTTTAATAGAGAATTCAGATGTCTACGGCCCCTGAAGCTAAGTAGCTAAACTACAGTATTTAATCTGATTAAGATATGAGGACTATCTCTGTCCAGTGTTAGCTCTATAATACCACAAAATCTAAAAACACACAAAAAAGTATTTTGCATACATAATGTGGAGTTGCTTCTCTTGTCAGCAGAAAGGATTTGGGAAATGTTATACTTAGGAAAAGATAAATCACCTTACCTATCACTCTTCCCTGAACCATTTTTGCAACTCGGTATTTAATATATGCTCCTACTAAGAGATAAATATCATGGGATGGTATAAGAAATATATTCTCCAAAACAAGCAGACGGATCGATGCTGCTGCCACATTCTAAAAGAGGAAGGAAAAGAGAAAACCAAAGTTTCCAAACTTGAGGCAAAATCTTCAAGGCCATCTTCCTTGTTAAAAGTTTACATCTTACAAGTTTCTTCTAAAATATTTTATAAAGATTAAAAAATGCTTTCTTAATCACAAGTCATAATTTCAGTTAGCCTTAAAAAATTATCATGAAAAAGAAAACACCCATATACACACACAGAATGATCATTAATCTGAATACTACATTAACTGTCTAAGTCACTTACTAACTTTCTAAGTCACTCAAACTAAGAATAGAAAATGACAAGTCTCCTAAAGGAGAAAAGTAGGTAAATAAAAAGGCAAGTATGGACCAGCCAAGTGGCTCAGTTGGTTAAGAGTGCGAGCTCTGAGCAACAGGGTCGCCGGTTTGATTCCCACATGGGCCAGTGAGCTGCGTCCGAGCTGAGCTGCCGCTGAGCTGCCAACAGGTGGCAGGATGTCTCAGCTGGTGAGAGCTCCTAACAACAAGGTTGCCGGTTTGACTCCCGCACTCGATGGTGGGCTATGCCCACCTGCAACTAAGATTGAAAATGGCACCTTGAGCTGAGTGGCTGTGAGCTGCCGATGGGCGGCTGGATGGCGACTGGACTTGAAGCTGAGCTAGCTGCATCCTCCACAACTAAGACTGAAGGACAACAACTTGGCTGTTCCCCTTCCCCAATACCCCAACACTGTTCCCCTTCCCCATTCCCCAATAAAATCTTTAAAAAAAAGGCAAGTGTGCTGAAATGACAGAAAAGGTAAGACGAGACTGTCATGTCACAGAAATTCTTTCAACCAACCTCCAGCGAAAGGACTTTGCGGATTGTCACTCTCTGTCCCGTTGAACAGTGATTCTTGTGAAGGCTGACCCACACAAGGTGAGCAGCTGCTCTCTAGGATGCCAATACTTGGTAAGTATTGGTAAATACTTACCAAGAGGTATTTGTTTTCCCCTAAACTATTTGTGCCAGTTACACTTTTAATTATAATTCCATTTAAAAAACTAACCATGAATGCAAAAAAAGCACTGTTGTTTGTACAAAAACTCTAAACGTTTTGAAAAGGAATTAAAGGCAAGCTACAAAAATGTAATGCTGTCAAATTAGGTGTAGGTGAAAAAATGTAAAATATAGGGAAAAAATTCCTTGAAAAATACAGAATTCTGTACTCAAATTGCTTCACACATCTAATTTTTCACTTGACTACAAAATGAAACGAAAAATGAAAATGAAAAGAGAAACTAGGAACTGTAATTTATGTAAGAAAGAGTATGTATACTTCTTCCAGCAAACGCATGGTCAAAGAAAGGTCTTGGACCTACACCAAAGGATTCGTGAATAAAATACAGTTATATGTTTTAACAGAAAACACCAGTTGTATTTGTAATTATAATTACGTAATAACATGTTTAAGGAAGAAAACTTTTTTTTTTATGTTTACCCATTTCAAATGACTTTTTCAATTCAACAACCAACTATTGGCCCAAATCGCATCAGGTTAGAGGGCTTCTACTATAAACATAAGAAACTACATTTCCTGTAGGTGAGACTATTACATGAAAGTTTATAGCACAAACTTTTTACCTTATAGAATGGTTCATAAATTCGAACTTTTACTACAGCAGCACCAGTTCTCATCCCAGACACCAAAATTATGTCTCCTTGTTTCTCTTCTTTTTCCATCTGAGCTATATACGCTGGGGGCGAATATTCTGCTTCAGAGTATTTGAGAATCCTAAAGAGATAAAATAAGGATTTGTTTCTAGTAGAATCAAACAATCAGTCTTCTTCCAAAAGACCCCCGGAGACTTTATGCATAGTCTCTTTAAATGTCTACATGTAAAACGTTTTAAAATTTGTTTTCCCAAGGACTAGACAGAAGGAAAATATTTAATGTGCCTCTGGCTAAAACTGTTGTGGGACTAAAACTTGGCTCGTCCAAGAGCTATTTCTTGGTCCTGAAGACAAGTTTCATACTATTTTCCACTCACTGTATTTCCCCATGTGCAGGCAGCTTGAACAAGAAAAGGGCCAGAAGACACACCTGACTCAAATAGTTGTAGAGTCCTGAGTTCATGAACTCCTTTGCAGTGGCTCAAATGAAACGATCATAAAGATACCTATATCCATACCGTACTATATCCTATATCCATACTGTTAATACATTGAAAACATTTCCCCCTGGTTCATTTAACTATTCCAGAAACGTCCAGACAGCAGGATTATCAAGGTCCACACAGACGGTTGCTGTTTAGTGTGCCACCAAGGCAAATGCCTCCTTCAAAGTCACAGGTTTATGTTTGGTTTCAAGGTTACCTAATTTTGCTAGACAGTTCTTCTCTTGCTGATTCGTTATCCTGGGCAATGCTCCATTCAAACATCACCCCCGCCAAACTACTAAAAGTATTTCCTGTAGAACAAGTCAAAAGCAGACAAGACAGAATCACATATTCAAAAACATTCAGGTATCTTTAATGAGAAAGGGAAACCTAACTAGAAAATTATTTTTAGGCCTCTTTCATTAACAAATAGAAAAATTTAGTAATGAATTAAAACACATATACTAAAATGATCCCTACACAAGCTTTCTGAAAGTAAAAAGGGCTCAAGCTGATTGACTTCCGGTCAACAAAAATTATGCCACTTTTGCTGTTTCTTTCTACATAAAGGCATGCTTATAATCTATCTCAGGGTTGACAGGGATCCTGAAATCCTGGTCCCTTCAACAAAAATTTTTATAAAAATGACGTTCTATAACACTTTCATTTTCCAGATTTAAAAAATTACTCTTTACTACTAAACAGGTTAGAAAGAGGCAATAAGTTCAAAAGTTTGGAATATCATATTACAACATTAGTGTATTAAAAGTATATTAAAAGCAATATAAAATCGGGCTCAAGAAAGATAAAATTCTAAAACTTTTTCACAGGTTTACATTTCATTCTTCCTGGCCTATAGGAAGTAGACTGACCAAAACAGAGCTAGCAATAAATTCAAAAAAAATGTTAACTGCTGATCGAAGGACCATCAGCAGAAACTAAGTGGCAGAATTTGGATATTTAAGAAAACTTCTGAGATAACCAACAATTAAATATAACAGGACAATTTTATGAAAGTATTAGCTATTGCATTGAACTACACTCATAAACATGAGCTTCATATGATAAAATAAATATTATTTCCAATCTACTTTTATCTCTCAGGTTGCTGTTTCCAGGTACCAAACACAAAGGAGTTTTACTGTGTTGTACATAATTTTGTTGAACCCTCTAAAGTTCTTTACCTTCAGCATCCAATGCCCTCACCATCAGTTCCAGTGGTGAGTCCTCTACATAGAGTTCCCGGGCTCGAGATATAATTTCAATGCTGTTTATCACATCAACCTTAACATCACAGCGCAGTTCATGGTCAGTCACTACGATGAGCCCCAAAACAGAATTTAATGCAACGGGTCATGAATTTATTAAATGGCTCAAACACTCAGAAGCTTATTCTAAATATTATGAAAAAGGAAGGCTATAACAGTTGTTTGCAACCTATGGAAGAAAACAGCATAATGACAAAATACAAGAACTTCTGATTACAATAAGAAACATTAGAGTGGCTCCCAAACACTGATCTATAACAATGTTTTCATTCATCCATGGAAAAATGAGAAAAATAATTTTAAAACAGAGAGCAATTTTACTTTTTCACTTTAATGGAATATACTTTATTCTTACATTCTATCTAACTTTAAAAAAAAATTTTTTATTATTATTTTTTAATTGGGGAATCGGGGAATGGGAACAGCGCTGGGGAATTGGAGGAAGGGGAACAGACAAGTTGCTGTCCTTTTGTTCTTCAGTCTAGTTGTGGAGGACATTGCTTCACTGGCCCAAGTTGGCAC